CATAAGCTTTCTGACCTGTTAGCCCGTGACTGCTAGACAACAAAGGACGGGAAGGAGGGTGCAGGAGTTAGTGTGCCGCGAAGGGAGCCCCGCTCCTCTGCAAGCCTTGCACAGAAAGGTTAAAGAAAAAAGCAAGGAGTCGCCTGGAAGTTACAGCTGCCTCATTTAAGTCGTTTCACCAACAGAACTGAGTGCTGTTAAGACTTATTTATAGGATTAAAAATACCTTAATGTCACAGAGAACTGAAAGAAGATATTTGCATAACACATGGCTGATAAAGGATTTATCTCCAGAATATATAAAGAACTTGCAAAACTCATGACTCTTAAAAATAAACCCAGTTTTAAAGAAAAAGATGAGAGCAAACATGTCACCAAAGAAGTGCTACAAACAAGCACATGAAAAGACGTCCAACATACTAGTCATTAGCGAAATGCAAATTAAAACCACAATGAGACACCACTGTATACCTATTAGAACATCTAAAACGTTTTTTAGGTTAATACCAAGTGCTAGCAAGGATGCAGAAGAACTGAAATTCCCAAACACTGCTGGTCTAAACACAAAATAGTACAGCCACTTTGGAAAACGGTCAGGCAGTTTCTTTAAAAATCAAACGTACATTTACAATAAGATCCAGCATTCCCAGTCCTATGTATTTACCCAAAAGAAATAAAAACTTGTCTTCACACAAATACCTGTATTCAAATATTTATAGCACCTCTATTCATAATCACCAAAACCCAGCCGATATCCAACTGAGGAATGGATAAACAAAACACGGTGTATACATCCCACAGAATGGGATAACATGTAGAAATACAAAGAAATAAACCAGATACACAGGACTACAGAAATGAATCTCAAATGCATTGTGCTAAATTAAGGAGGCCAGACTCAAGTCCACACTGTGATTCCATTTATGAAAGCAAAACTATAGGGGCAATAAATAGATCAGTGGTTGCCAGGAGCTGGGGCACCAGTTGGGTGGGAGAGGATTATGAAGATGCAGTATGAGGTGATGATGTAAGTCTTCTTTGTGGTGATGTAACTTTTCTAAACCTTGATTGAGATGGTCATTATACGCATTTATCCAAGCTCCTAACACTACACACTACCGGGGTGACAATCTGGCACAGTGTGACTGGGTTCTCTGCTCAGGGCCCCACCAGGCCGAAGTGAAGGTGTCAGCTGGCCTGGGCTTTCCTGGAGGCCCTGAGGGAAGATCCGTTTCTAAGACCATACAAGTTACTGGCAGAATTCAGTTCAATGCAGTTGTGGGGCCGAGGTCATTTCCTTGCTGGCTGTCGGCCAGAGGTTGTCCTCAGCTTCTAAAGGCTGCCACATTCCTTGGCTCATGCCCTCCCCATCTTCAAAGCCAGCAACAATAGATCAAGTCCTCTCCATGCTTTGAATCTGACATCCTCTTCTGCACCATCTCTGTAATTTATTTTACCCTCAGCCAGGGGAAAGCTCTTCTTCTAAGAGTTCATGTGATTACTTTGGGCCTGCCCAGATAATCCAGGATGATCTATTTTAAAGTCAACTGCTTGGTAACCTTTTTTTGTTGTTGTTGTTATAGTCATTTTACAATGTTGTGTCAAATTCCAGCATAGAGCACAATTTTTCAGTTGTACATGAACATACATATATCCATTGTCACTTTTTTTTCTCTGTGAGCTACCACAGATTTTGTATATATTCCCCTGTGCTATACAGTATAATCTTGTTTATCTATTCTACATTTTGAAATTCCAGTCTGTCCCTTCCCAACCCCCGCCCCCTTGGCAACCACAAGTTTGTATTCTGTCTATTAGTCTGTTTCTGTTTTGTATTATTTTTTTAGATCCACATATAAGTGATCTCATACGGTATTTTTCTCTTTCTAGTTTACTTCACTTAGAATAGCATTCTCTAGGAACATCCATGTTGCTGCAAATGGCATTATGTTGTCAGTTTTTATGGCTGAGTAGTATTCCATCATATAAATATACCACCTCTTCTTTATCCAGTCATCTGTTGATGGACATTTAGGCTGTTTCCATGTCTTGGCTATTGTAAATAGTGCTGCTATGAACATTGGGGTGCAGGTGTCATTTTGAAGTAGGGCTCCTTCTGGATATATGCCCAGGAGCAGGATTCCTGGGTCATATGGTAAGTCTATTCCTAGTCTTTTGAGGAATCTCCATACTGTTTTCCACAGTGGCTGCACCAAACTGCATTCCCACCAACTGCTTGGTAACCTTAATTACATCCATTTTGCCACATAACATATTCACAGGCATGACCCCAGGGGCAAAGGTCATGGGGGCCAAAACTCTGCCCACCACATAGATTTTAAACAATGACCTAATATACACACATATAAATGAAACAAAAGGTAAAATATTTACCTTTCACTCAGTTCAACACTTTGACACTTTTAATATATTAAAAGGCCAGTGTCAACATACTATACTGATTACATGTCCCATTAATGAGATGCAACCTCTAAGTTTATCTTGAGAAAAAGGCCTGCATGCCCTTTTAAATTCTAATCTGAAACAACAGGAGACCCATGGAAGGGCATCAGGGGCCTGTGTAAACCCTGAAATTATTTATCTGGGACTAACTAAGCAGAAGGAAAACAAACTCACCTCGGGGACAGTTTGCAGATATCTCCCCAGTGCTACTACAGGCTGTCAAGGTCATGAAAAGTGAGAAAAGACTGAGAAACTGTCACATAACAGAGAAGACTGGGGAGACATGACAAGTAAATGCAATGTAACAGATTGGATCTAAGAACAGAAAAAGAATAATGAGAAAATTGGAGAAATCCAAAAAGTCTGGAGTTTAATTAACAGGGATATAAGTTTTAGTTTCTTAGTTTTGACAAATGCACCTGGAGACGTAAGATGTTAACAGTGGGGAACTGGGTGAAGGGTATACGAGACCTCTGTATTCTGTCTGCAGCTTTTCCGTAAATCAGTATTATTCTTAAAGAAAATTTACTTATAAAACATTACAAGACTGAGTACCTGTACATTTTCCTAGGAAGATTTATAGATTTTACACCCTCCATCCATGATCCAAAAATACTTAAGACCCACTGTTCAAAGCTTCCGCTGCTTTCCTTAACCACTCCTAAGTATTGTCTCCTTTCTGCTATGTCACCTACACCTTCCCTCAAAAAACAAAATTTAGCCAGGGCCTGGGGAAGGGGAGGTGAGGGGAGATGTTTAATGGGTTCAGTTTCAGTGCAGGAAGATGAAAAATGTTCTGGAGATGGGTAATGGTGATAACAATAATACTTAATGCCACAAAACTGTACACTTAAAAATGGTTAAAACGGTAAATTTTATGTTATATATATTTTACTGCAAGTTAAAAAATAAAGGAATGGGTACTGATATATGCTA